TGGTTCGTTTGCTTTCTGCTTTGCTTTTTCCCCATTTCCAATGGGTCGTGCATGATTTGTTTGCTTTTTTTGCATTCCCAAAGGGTCTTGTGCAGTTTGTTTGCTTTCTGTTTTGCGTTTTTTTGCATGTCCAATGGGACTTGCACAGTTTGTTTCCTCTCTGCTTTGCTTTTTCCCCATTTCTCATGGGTCTTGCAGGTTTGCACTTTGCTTTTTCCCCATTTCCAATGGGTCGTGCATGATTTGTTTGCTTTTTTTGCATTCCCAAAGGGTCTTGTGCAGTTTGTTTGCTTTCTGTTTTGCGTTTTTTTGCATGTCCAATGGGACTTGCACAGTTTGTTTCCTCTCTGCTTTGCTTTTTCCCCATTTCTCATGGGTCTTGCAGGTTTGCATTATGCTTTGCTTTTTTTGCATTTCCAAAAGGTCTTGCATGGTTTGTTTGCTTTTCCCTTCAGCCGGAACGGATTAATTGTGTTTCCAATGGGTCTTGCAGGGTTTTGGTTTTTTTTGGGTTGTTGTTGTTGTTTTCTTTCTTTTTTCCCCCCTTCAGTCGGAACTGATTAATTTTTTCCTCCCTTCAGTCGGAACTGATTAATTGCATTTCAATGCATTCCTATGGGAAATTGTGCTTCAACTTACGATCATTTCGAGTTATGACCGGAGTTTCGGAACCAAATAAGTTCGTAAGTCAAGGCACTACTGTATTTAGAAATATATATCTCTAGGATTTTTCTTTTAATATTTTTAATATTTTTAGATCATAGATGTGAGGAAACTGTATGCTTTTACAATGTATATAAATGTATATATCTGTATGCTAGTAGCAGACATCATGCTAAAACTGCAAGGCTAACTTCCAGTAAGGATAATCATTAATCTGCGGTCTATTGTCTCTGGGTAATGTAGTTAAAGTGTCTACCTCAGGAATGTTTACATTGTCTGTGTATTTGGAGTTATCTCTGTCTGTTTACTATTAACTGTCTGTTTACCAGCCTGTCTGTTTACCAACCACTCTGTTTACTGATGCCTTTGTATTCAAGGAAATTACTTGTCTCTGTTTACCAGCACTCTGGTTATTCTGTTGTTTATTCAATAAATTAGTTACCTCTGTATTGATTAACTAGTGCTGTAGTAGGAGAAAACAATAAAGGAAGAGGAGGTGGGGGAACAAGAGAGCCCCTCTGGACAGATGCCTGACAGTGTTTTTTTTGGGTTGTTGTTGTTGTTTTCTTTCTTTTTTTTTCCTTCAGTCGGAACTGATTAATTGCATTTCAATGCATTCCTATGGGAAATGGTGCTTCAACTTACGATCATTTCGGTTATGACTGGCGTTTCGGAACCAAATAAGTTCGTAAGTCAAGGCACTACTGTATTTAGAAATATATATCTCTAGGATTTTTCTTTTAATATTGGTTGTTGTTGTTGTTTTCTTTCTTTTTTTTTCCTTCAGTCGGAACTGATTAATTGCATTTCAATGCATTCCTATGGGAAATGGTGCTTCAACTTACGATCATTTCGGTTATGACTGGCGTTTCGGAACCAAATAAGTTCGTAAGTCAAGGCACTACTGTATTTAGAAATATATATCTCTAGGATTTTTCTTTTAATATTTTCAGATCATAGATAAGTGAATCAGTGGATACTGAGCCCACAAATAAGGGGGTCCTGCTGTACTTGGTCAACACAGATAGAGGGGAACATATGCACTTCACAGCAGCTACAATGGGGGATGTCCAATCTTATGGTACAGGCACTGCAAGGTAGTAGGTTGTGTGAACATGAAAGCTCATAATATAATAGATCAGCCAGTTCTGAAGGTGCCATATGACTCTGTAGTATTTTGCTGCAGCTAATTTACATGAGTACATATGTAGAAACTTTGACACTAGTTGAGTGAGTTGGCTAGTCATCCCCTTGGTCAATGGGAAATGCCTCTGGGCATACAAAGTACTTCCTTCACAACTAGACTCAGACTTTCTCTTTTCAGTCATTTCTTGAGAAGGGTGAAGTAAGTCCCCATAGGATAAATCAGATGCAGTACTAATGCCAAGTAAGTACTGTAGCTCGTATGCATGTACCCGTACCAGCTGTTGCAGTGGTCAGGCAGGCAAGACTGGGACCAAGACTCAAAGTAGTTTACTCTCTCTCTCTCTATTTTTTTAAGTTCCATGAAACTCAAACTAAAACAGCAAATTAGACCTGGGAAGGAAGCTTTCATTGGTCTCATTGGAGTGACAGCAGGTGCAGAAATTGTGTAGGTGACCTGTGATGAGGAAGTAGAATTCATCCCTCACGGACTGCAGTAGCTATTCATTTTTACAAGGGTGAATATTAGTTGCTCACATGCAATTAATGTCATATCCAGTTTTACTGTGTAAGTAAAGACAAGCTCTGTTTTTCCCTTTAGCTGCAGCTCAACACAGAGAAATTGCTGGAGGATTTTTTCCCCCCATGCAAGGTGTACAGTAAAATTGGAATGCTGGGACACAAGAGAACCAAAATGGAATCAATAAAAATAGGGGTAACACTACTTTGAAATCAGTCTCAATGCTTGACCGAAAAACCAGTATCTATTAAAGTACTACGTGCCATTCTGGATTTCTTAAACAAGTCTTACCTTTTCCTTTTCTATGTCTTCTGGCAGCTTAAAACCTTTTGCGGCAATGAACACCCAAGGGAGGTAGGTAGGTAGGTAGGTAGGTAGGTAGGTAGGTAGGTAGGTAGGTAAGATATCATCACCTCAGGGAAGGGGGCGATGATAACTTCCTCAATGGCTCAAGGGGGCGTTTCTTTCAAAAAGGTTAAGAACCACTGTATTAAAGTACTACGCGCCATTCTGGATTTCTTAAACAAATCTTACCTTTTCCTTTTCTATGTCTTCTGGCAGCTTAAAACCTTTTGCGGCAATGAACACCCAGCTTGACCGGAATCTCAGATTCCGCACTTCTTTACTTCCTAGTTCAGATATTGCCTTTTTCCCATCTTCCTTTAATCTATGAGAGATGAAGAGATAGCTAAGAGAATTATTTAAACTCTATACCTTCTATTACGTAGAGCTTCTAAAAGGAAAAGGCTACATCAGATGGATGATAGATAGATAGATAGATAGACAGACAGACAGACAGACAGACAGACACTGATATTATTATCAGATCAGACAGACAGACAGACAGACAGACAGACAGACAGACAGACAGACAGACAGACAGACAGACAGACAGACAGACAGACAGACAGACAGACAGACAGACAGACAGACAGACAGACAGACAGACAGACAGACAGACAGACAGACAGACAGACAGACAGACAGACAGACAGACAGACAGACAGACAGACAGACAGACAGACA